TCAATCTGCAATTTTCAAGAGACATCTAATTTTGCCCTAATTTGGCAAAGGTTAAATCTTTACAATTTTTGATTTTTCATACAAATCTGATTTTTCCAAATTTTGCTAAAAATGCAAGGTGAACCCTTTACAATCTGAAATTTTCCATGAACACCTGGTTTTGCCGTATTTTGCTAAAAAGTGCAAGGTTAACCCCTAACAATTTGAAATTTTCAGATGTAAGGGGGTTAACCTTGCTTTTTAGTGCCCTAATTTGGCAAAGGTTAACCCCTTACAATTTTTGATTTTTCATACAAATCTGATTTTTCCCAATTTCGCTAAAAAAGCAAGGTTAACCCCTTTACATCTGAAATTTTTGTGAAACATCTGATTTTGCCCAATTTTGCTAAAAATGCAAGGTTAACACCTTACAATTTGAGATTTTTCATAAAAATCTGATATTGCCCAGTTTTGCTAAAAATGCAAGGTTGACCCCTTTCAATCTGCAATTTTCCAGAAACATCTGATTTTGCCCTAATTGAGCAAAGGTTAACCTCTTACAATTTTTGATATTTCATATAAATTTGATTTTTCCCAATTTTGCTAAAAATGCAAGGTGAACCCCTTACAATCTGACATTTTTCATAAACACCTGATTTTGCCCTATTTTGCTAAAAAATGCAAGGTTCACCCCTTACAATTTGAGATTTTTCATAACATTTAAATTTGCCCAATTTTACTAAAAAAGCAAGGTTAACCCCTTACAATTTGAAATTTTTCATTCACATCTTATTTTGCCAAATATCACTAAAAAGGCAAGGTTAACCCCTTACAATCTGAAATTTTCCAGAAAGATCTGATTTTGCCCAATTTCGCTAAAAATACAAGGTTCACCCCTTACAATTTGAGATTTTTCATATAAATCTGATATTGCCCAGTTATGCTAAAAATGCCAAGTTAACCCCTAACAATCTTAAATTTTCAAGAAACATCTGGTTTTCGCAATTTCGCTTAAAAAAGCAAGGTTAACCCCTTTCAATCTGCAATTTTCCAGAAACATCTGATTTTGCCCTAATTTGGCAAGGTTAACCCCTTACAATTTTAGATTTTTCATACAAATCTGATTTTGCCCAATTTTGCTAAAAATGCAAAGTAAACCCCTTACCATCTGAAATTTTCCATAAACACCTGATTTTGCCCTATTTTGCTAAAAAATGCAAGGTTAACCACTGACAATTTGAAATTTTTCGTAAACATTTAAATTTTCCCAATTTTACTAAAAATGAAAGGCTAACCCCTTACACTTTGAAATTTTTCATACACATCTTATTTTGCCAAATTTTACTACAAAAGCAAGGTTAACCCCTTAATCTGAAATTTTCCAGAAAGATCCGATTTTGCCCAATTTCGCTTAAAAATGCAAGGTTCACCCCTTACTATTTGAAATGTTTCATAAACAGAATATTTCACACATAGGGGCCTAAATTATATATTTTTAAATTTAATAGAGACGCATTGATCGTGCTATCATATACCATTCTAATACCATTGCGAATTACTGTATTGTTTGGAATGTTCACAATTAAAGACACGTTATTTGAAAGATGTATAAATAATATTTATATTACAATGTACATCTTTATTCTTTCCCGGTATAATTTATGGCGTTTCTTACGTCAATTGGCAATCGCGTCATTATATAATGATAGTCAAATTGATCGAACGAAACTCCGTTTTGATTATAGTCAATTATGAAATATTCATTGATATATGACATACACCTTTGTTTCAATTTTGATAGTACCCGTAGACCTGCCGAGCAGCTGTAGATATCAAACTAAACCAAAGTATAAAAGATAGAGGGTAAAAAAAATCAAAAAGTTATGTGCTAGTCAAGCTTTCAGGGATCGGTCTGAGCCATAACAATGCCCCAGCCGATCCCTTAGTTCTCTTCCGGGGTCTCGGCGTCCCCGACCAATACACACTTCCTTCCCTATCCATCCATATAACCCCGGAGGGCCAGGCACCATGTAAAAGCAAAGAGCTAAGGGAGGAACAGGGCGGCCCCTAAGCCCTGATCCTCCGAGTGGACCACATGCCCTGAACCTGTACGAAGGCGCCAACCTGGAACTCGCGGACAGTACCAGCAGCAGTGCTTACCGATTAAGCTAAGGTACTGTTGGTACTTTACGACGGGAAATTAAATCTCTTATAGTGAATAATTGAACTCATACGTTAAAAACCAAAAAGACACCGGCGGGATTCGAACCCGGGACCCCGCTAACCGTGGACGACGAATCGTAACCACTCGGCCATTTCGTTACCTTAGAATTTTCCTTAAACTGAGAAAAGTTGTCTTTATAGGTGAGCAAACGCGCCAGGAAGATTACTGGGTCCATTTGCTTTACCTTAATGGGTAAAAACAAGTCGATATAATGAGCCCAGTGTGTTTGGTTTGTTAGGAAGCTGCATAACACAGCCTAATGTGCAAAACAGTCGTGTGCCAGGCGGATCATTACGCAACAATGAACACCGCAATTGTGTATTTTCAAAAGGCAGACGCGTAGATTTCTACTCTTTGTATCTGGGCACATATAGATTCTCACCTCCCTCTTCAGCTATTTCGACTTTCTTAAAAAGAAAAATAGAGACTGTCAGCGAATCTCCGGGAGTTGAAATAAGGATCGTCCCCTCGATAGACCTCAGACTCAGTAAAGTTCAACATTGGGCTCTTTTTCAGCTGTTTTTGCGGAAACTTTACATCTGGATTTTTTAGAAGCATCTGATTTTGCCCAATTTTATTAAAATATGCTCCAAATTTTGCTTAAAAAGCAAGATTAACCCCTTACCATCTTAGATTTTTCATACAAATCTGATTTTGCCCAATTTTAGTAAAATATGCTCCAAATTTTGCTTAAAAAGCAAGATTAACCCCTTACCATCTTAGATTTTTCATACAAATCTGATTTTGTCAAATTTTACTAAATATACAAGGTATACAATTTAAATTTTTTCATAAACATTTCTTTTTGCCCAATTTTGCTAGAAATACAAGGTTAAGCCCTAACAATCTGCAATTTTCCAGAATCATCTGATTGTGTCCTATTTTGCAAAAAAAATGCAAGGTTAACCCCTTACAATTTGAATTTTTTTCATGAACATCTAATTTTCCCCAATCTTATTCAAAAAGCAAGGTTAACCCCTTACAATCTGCAATTTTCCAGAAACATTTGATTTTTTCCGATTTTCGCTTTAAAAAAATGCGAGGTTAACTCCTTTCAATTTGAAATTTTTCGTAACATCTAACTTTGCAAAATTTCACTAAAAAAGCAAGGTTAGGCCCCCCCCCCCCAAAAAAAAGTCTCCGGTTTCTGGTATGGAGCTTGCCCAAAAAGTGGTGCTGCGACGCGGCTTGTTTTTTTTTTTTTTACCTGTTTTTTTTTGCTTCAAATGTCGGCTGATGACTGCAAATGGTGCCCGACTAAACTTAGTGCAAATATTATGGAAGACCAGAGAGGCCACATAAAACTTATTCTCGATCATAACCCCATCTAAAAACACGTTAAAATTTTGCAGCAGCAGGATTCCAGTCAAACCAGTGAGTTTGGCGGTTTTGAGACATCATCGTTCTTTGAAAATAAAAACTTGTTCATTTTGCTGACGCGCATGGCTACGGCGACGCGCGCGCATACCAGAAACCGGAGACTTTTTTTTTGGCCTTAATCCCTTACATCTGAAATTTTTCGGAAACATCTGATTTTGCCCAATTTCGCTAAAATATGCAATGTTCACCCCTTACAATTTGAAATGTTTCATAAACATCTAACCCCATACAATCTGCAATTTTCCAAAAACATCTGATTTCTCCCGATTTTGCTAAAAAAAAATACAAGGTTAACCCCTTACAATTTGATTTTTTTTTCATAAACATCTAATTTTGCCCAATTTTACATCAGCTTATGCTAACAAATTATCAGGTAACTGGATCATTAAACGGGACAGGTGCACATCGGCCTTGGAGCTCAGACCATGTGTCATGCACTCCTCAATGCATAGATGATGCACATATGGGTAGTACAGGCACAGCTGGGGTACTGCCCAAACAATGATGAACGCATTGCGTATGCTTAAAGAATTACCCACAATTCCGGTTTTTACCGTTTAGGTCTGGCTCTAATCACTTTACGCGATCCCCTGACGTCTCATACACTGACTTTAGGCAAAATAGTCAGACTTTCGCGGTCTAGTAACCAGACTTTGACTCTTAAAGAAACATCAAATGAAAAGGGAAATATCAAATGCATATTGCAAAAGATCGAATGCAAACATACCGATGAAACATCGAATACAAATAGCTCGAAATGTCAAACATATGTGTAAAACATTGCTCACATATTTGAGAATATCGCAAATATATTGTAGAACAACACACACAATTGTATCGAAAAACATCGCACATTTAATGCAAAAAATCGAACATAATATTGAAAACATCGCACATATATATCGTCAAAAACATCGCACATATAAATTGAAAATCGCATATAAATGTAAAACATCGCACACAGATATTGAACATCGCACATATATTGTAAAACATCGCACAAATATATTAAACATCGCGCAAATGATGAAAAACATCGCACACTTATATTGAACATCGCACATAAATGTAAAAGATAACAAACACATATTGAACATCTAACATATATATTGCAAAATATTGAATATTGCAACGTTTGACACGCCATGGGCGGAGGGCCGGAGCTGGACAAGCGAACATTTTATTAGACCATAAAATTGTCACAGCGCCCTCAAATTTTTAATTGGCCAGCAAATTGATCATGGTCCGTGGGTACCAACCAATATTGACAAATAAGTCGGATTCTCGCTATAAACGCCCGCGGCTTCTATGTCAAACTAGTGGTGATGAAGCGTAGGGGTCAGGCAGCCAGACGTACTGATATTACCCTGGTACCCTTTATGGGCATTGCATACAAAAATTGCAATGATGCAGCGAGCGCCTACGTGAATTTGTACATGTACGCCGATGTAGTCGAGTCTAGTTACCGATACCGGTTGTAGCGGAGGTTGGTGCGTGTTTGTAGATATTCCGGGTTTTTTAGGAAAACACCAACAGAAATCATGTCAGAGACAAAAGAGACAAAAGAGACAAAAATATATTCTCTAGAAGATGTTAAACAACACAAAACAAGCCAGTCGATATGGATCGTAATTCATAACAAAGTCTACGATGTCACGAAGTTCTTGGATGACGTAAGTATTAAAAGTCCTCTCCGGGCTCTACCTTTGGAGATTGTGTAGTTACGGTCCCCCTTTTCTTTTCGGTCCTTTAACTTTATTCTAAAATTGCTTCTGCAATCTAAAGCAGTCTTCTTTTGGAAAAGAATGTTGCAACCTGACGCCACTCAGTGGTTGTGTACAAAGTTTAAGGAGAGTCAAGAACATCTTCTAAAGTCATGAAAGTAATTCCTAACTGCAGGCTAACAAAATTGGAAATGTTTCATCATTTTTGCAATGACTGACCTTCATTATATAAAGAAAAAAGTGGCGTCAGGTTGCAGCATTCTTTCCTTTTATATCTAACGGTCTAATGACCCTATATTCTATAATTTGGTGATTGTGTAGTTACGGGACCTACAGTCATGACAGTACAGGCCTCCTCTCTTTACTTTTGATTTAAACTGAGATTTATAGACTAATTTAAGAAACCTAAATCAAGAGAGTCAAGAATGGGTTTATCATTCCAAAATGACTTCAGCAACCTAAAGCAGACTTCTCTTAATTCTAATGAGACTATTTTTTTAGTGATTTTACACAGCGTCTTACAGTAGTAGAAAATGCTATTTTCTTACACATTTTTCAGTTGCAGCCATGCAAATCAGTACAGTTTTGCTCATGAACCCTACAGTACTCGACCCAATAAACCTCAACAGCATGTTTTGTTGGAATCTGTCGGGTTGGGTACAGTCAGTACCCCTAAACTGACAGTCTTTTACATTGGGTTGGCACACCTCCAGAAAAGGGTGTTTCAATTTTAGGAGCTCTTTGATTTTTTTTAAAAATTTTTATTTTGGGGACGAATTGGTTCATTGAAATGAAAGAATTACCATGTTCATCAATATGGAGAAGTGGCAAAGCAAACTGCAAAACATTTATTAACAGTATATTTTTCTTTTTAAATCTGGACAGTTTTGACTTGTCAATTTAGCTCATCCTGTAACATGCACATTTGTTTCAATGTAAAAAAAAAGTTGATTTAACCCTTACTCTCTGAGGGTAGTTTACTGCATGTCAGTTGGTTATGCCAATGCCCTCCAGCTGCAGTTAATTGGAGGATAAACTATCTTGACTGTGAAGGCTCCAATTGGCAGGAGTTGGAGGCCCTGGAGGGTGCCTGATACTGACCAGCTGGGGGCACTCACTTTGTTATCAGAGGACTCTCATTGTTCTCTGTGGCATGTATTGGAGTGCCTGTCCAGTTACCCTTGAAATGACATGGCAGATATTGGAGGGCCATGCAAAAAACATAGGAGATTTTCTTGAGGCACATATTGGCATGCGTTGGAGGGTCTAGTAGGGTAAGGGTTAAGTAATGAAATGTATGTACTGTGATAACTGTAGGAATGAGTGAATATAGACACCAACTTAATTAATGTGTATGTTCATACATGTATACATGTACAGTATGATCAACACAAAAAAATGCCCAAAAAAATTCCCTACCTACCTACATGTACCCTATTTTCAAATGCCATGTAATGAGAAGCAGAATTTTTTGTTTGCCTATTTCTATCAGGCATGCCCCTGATACACCCCCAACTTCATGTAGCAACTGTCACAACTGTGTCAGTATGGTTCAGTATGCCTCACAACTTGTTTGCTAAGTTGCAGTCATAGTTTTTTGCAACCAGTGGTCGGTAAAGTTTAGTTGGCCATCACTGCATAAACAAGAGAATAGGACACAAACTGCAAAAAAAACAAAAATGAAAAATGCTGAATAATAGAAACACACAACCCAAAACCAAAGAGAAAATATAAATGTACCTCAATCTTGATTTGGCCCCCAAAATTGTTTTGGACTGGTGGTTTTGATTTTGGTTCATTTGGCAAGATTCATTTTAAAAAATGCGAAGAAAGTTTAGGATAATAAAGTAGACTTAACATCTTTTTTTTTCTTTACGTTTTCAGCATCCTGGAGGTGAAGAGGTGCTTCTTGAACAAGGAGGTAAGTCTTTGCTCATAATGCTAAACCAGTGGTCTTGCATCTTTTGATATCCAGACAGCGCCCTAAAAATTTTTAAAAATCAGGCCCATTTTAACATTTTGTTGGAGACGTACGTACAGTTGTTGTAAAGGTCTTTGATAGCCTCCCTGTACGTTCCCCCACAGAAAAAAGCATCTACATGTACACATTGGCACTCAAATTCTCTTGAAAGCATAGGCCTATATCGACAAGTATTTAACCCTAACTCCCTAGTGTCTTTCACTAAGAACTGGACCAAGTCCATCTAAATCCATCAATCACTGTTGCTTCCAAAATTATCGTGAAATACCTTACCTGACTGTAAGTGAATAATAGTCTCAAGCATCCAGTGAAATCATGGCAACTGGTGTGCTGTCATTTTCAATATCCAACAATGGTCAGCCGACCATCGTTGGAAAAAAACTGACTTTTTCTTTCAAACATTGCCCCCAATTGACCTATCGTGGTAGAATCGCAACAACGCAGCCTGTGAAATATTGTTCAATTACAAATTATACAATGGACGTGGAACGCGCAGCATACGAGACAAACAAAGCTTAGCGTACAAAAATTCCATAGGGTTGTCTAAGGGGCGTGGCCAACTCTCAAACGGCGATCAATTTACCAAGTTCAGTTAGTCCACATTTTGTGTGCAATCGGTTACACACCCGTGAACCAGCCAGTCTGGTTCCCTGACCTGACAATTCCCTGACGTCTATGAATTGCTCTGTTTCGTCTGAAGTGTAGGATCAGGAAACCAGGCTACAAGAACAGCATTTTTTTATTGATTTTTCCAGCTTGTTCATCTATGAACACAAAACTTTAAACAGGTCAGTGTAAAAATATTTGCCATAAAATACTAATCCCTAACTCCATCGATTTCTGAAGGAAAAAAAAGCAAAAGCAAATGTCGTATACCTTTAACCATGCGCGATTTAGCAAGAGTTTATATAATAATACCTAAGGGGTTTAGCTGTTTTCATCTCAATAATTGTGCCTGACAATTACATGTAGATAAAGAGCCAGTTACATTTAGAAATGCATAACAACAACTGAACACAGATGGTGTGATGTCAATTTTCTTTTACGAGAACAGATAACGTGACATGCACACCCTTTTTTATAACAAAACTAACAAAAATAATTGTTATCGTACATAAATCAATTTTGTAATTGTACAAGCAGGCAACCATTTATACATGTACATTGTGATTGTATTATGATACTATTTAATATATTTTTTGCTTAATTTATCGTGAGCTACTGTATTTGGAGAGTTTAAATATGAACAGGCTGTAACTCTGAAAATGATCAGTCAATCCATGTAATCCTTCTGTATAGAATTACATGTATAGGGCCTACACATGTGTACGTGTGTATGTACATGTAGTACTTATCAGGATTTGACCTTTTATCATGATATTGATAACCAACAGTCATTCATGTGAGTGGTTTTTTTTTTATTGTGTACCACCCAGCGGGTTTCCTACTATCATTAAATCCTTAAAATATATGACGTACAGTTCTTAAGTGGGTATATGGGTTTCCTGCATAATGTGAAGTATGTACTTACAGGCCTACACTACAGGTCTGTAGCTTTGTACAGAGAATGTATGCAGGTGCCTGTATTTCAGTGTGTGTTTATGCTACCCACATGGATTTTATTGAATTGCCAAGAAAGACAGTGAGAAAAGCTACCTGAAGTACAGACTGAACTGATACAAAACACCATGTTACCATGTCTTAACATGATGTCATTAAGTAACACCACACTATTTCAGTTTTAAAGGCAAAAAATGTATGACATGATCTTTGCATTTATCCCAAAAACAACCAACCAAGTTATTATCAAAAAGCTTACTTGAATGGATTAAAGATCATACTGGTACTAAACACCCTGTGAAATTATTTCGTCTGGCTTGCTTGTCACTAGAAGAAATCAAGAAATGTGTGTGATTTCCAACGATCAGTCAATTGACAGATTTTTGGAAATAAAGAGTTATACTGTGCATGTACACAAAGTCATGTTTCATGATCAAAAGGTTTGTGCATTGTTTTTCTCTGTTTTCTCATAAAGGGTAACACCTACTGAGCTGAAACTTCAACAGGTTGGGTTTTGAACATGAATGGATATTGAGTCGTGTTATTATTGGAAACGAACAAAATCATGAAAATGCATGAAAATTGAAAAGCAGATGACCCTATGCCTTTAAACACACATAAACGTACCACAAAATTAATGGTCTTTGGGCAGTGTGAACGACTGCACTGTGTTCTACATGTACGTACTGTACATACCGGTAGTGGTAGATTTAATATAAAGACACAGTACTTCAACCGTATAATTTGCCACAGCTACCGGTATGCCATAGTGCTGGATATTGAAGTAGTGAATATTCATGTAAGAGATTAATTTAAAGAAAAACAATACAAATGTAATGGTATCATATTTAAAAAGATGTCACATGAACTTCTTTAAATTTATGATTTCTGCTCAAACCTTCCAGGGTTCATATTAAGGCAAAATGCACTGTAAGTTAACACTGTTTTCTTGAAAACTGACATTTATTCATGGCCAATTTAACAAAATTGTCCTTCTTTTTTATATCCTGCTTTAGATTTTGAGTGCTTTTGTTCTGCAGTCTTTACGTAAAAAGAGAAATGTAAACGGTCCTGTGATCCTTAATGTTGAACACTGTCCTGGGCATTTTATGTTTCGACATTCATTTATTTCAGAGAAGTAGTGATCCCTGATACGGCACAACTGTAATAAGTCTCCATGCTTGTCATTAAGGATTGAAGAGTTGGGAGATGAACCACAAATCCAGGCTGAGAGGCTCTGTGATTAATTCTTGTTTATAGTGGGTTTTTTTTTTTGGGGGGGGGAGAAAATCGCACATGTAACAGACCATAAACTGAATATTTTTTTGAATGATTTTTTTGTTTCACAGAAATGAATACAACATAAGGCCTACTGGTTTTATAAAAATTACAGCAAGAAAAGCAAGACTCAATAACAAAATATAAAGAGCAAAATGAAAAGCATGTTTTTAGCCCAATTGATGAAGTTGATACATTTTACCATAACGGTCTCTGTACATTGTACCTATAAATATTTCAGTAAAAAAAAGAAATGGGTATTGTAAGGGGTACCTTTAGACAAATACAATGTACAGGCATAGACCCAATGTTGCTCTGGGCCAACAGCAGCCCCAAAACCCTCTGCCGATTATTTCGTGGATTTGTCTTTCCCCCAATCTCGCCCCTAGATTTACACATAATTTTACATTGCGTCTTGTTTTCTGTGTTTATTGCTTTGAAGGATCGAATGCCACAGAATCATTTGAAGATGTAGGCCACTCATCAGACGCCAGGGAACTCATGCAGGATTACCTCATCGGTGATCTGGCAGAGGTGAACAACTTTTTTTTTCTAAGAGTAAATCCACGTCTGAATTATGTCCGGCAAGAACAAATGTGTATTTTGAAGAGGCTGAGTCTCCATAGCCAAATGTAGTGTACTTTAGATGATTCCTTATTTTGCTGTTCATTGATTGTTTTCTGGTTGTTGATATGCCACCCATTCCACACTTAGTTGGGAAGGCTGTTTGACTTGCACCGTGTCCTGTCTGTTTTGACCCTCCCTCAAAGAATGCACATAGAAAATAAAAAAATTGTAAATTTAAACTAAAAGTTAAACTTTCGTAACATTTAATCATTATTGTAATATTGGTGTTTTTTCTTTAACCCCATCTATGCAAACATACATTCTGTGCCAAGTAGTCCTTTCAGTCAAAATCAAGCAAGTGACTGTTTTCAGTTGTTAAGAACTCACAGCCTACAGAAAGGAAGATTGACTGGCCGTGACTGTTTATGTACATGTACATGTACATGTAACTTGATACAGCTTTGCTTTGACGGTGACTGCTCTATGTTCCGACACCCCTATGTTCCGACAACCTAGATTGTGTTACTCCCGGTTAGGGTTAGGGTTAGGAATAGGAATATGTGCAGTCGGAACATAGGGGTGTCGGAACATAGAGGTGTAAACGCTTTGACTGTGGGTAATCGATAAGCCAGCCCTGCCCACAACTTGCCCGTTTTTGTCTGCTGACTGAGTTTGACTCGTCACAGTGCTTGCTTGACATATGAACTAACTGCTGGTGACTAGCTTGTGTAAAATATAGGAGGGGAAGTGGATGGAAATTTTAACTGTCTGTGACTGTTTAAATGGATTAATGAACCCTTGTGTTGTTTGATCAGCCACAGACAGTCAAATAGTTCTTCCACTTCCCCTGCCATGCATACATGTACATACAGACTAGTAAAAAACAGTCAAATCACATTTGTGTAAATACTGTGTCTCGTTAAATCCTGTCAACAGACAAAAGAGGTAACTGGAAGGAACAGCTGGCTTATCGATCTCCCCCAGTCAAATAATTATGATAATAATAATAATTTGGGAGGCTAATCATCCTCAGTCATAGATGAGAAGCTGAATTGCAAAGGACACGGCTACAATGTGGTCGAGCGGCAGGCATGTAAGGCGCCTTTGGCAGCCGGCCATACACGACCCATCCACGGAGCACTGCCCGAGATTGAAAGTGCTTGATTTTTCTAAGCATGGCTATATTGAATTAACAGGGGAGTTTTAAACTGTTCAAATAGTCACTTTATTGATTTTGACTGTTGTGATTGTGTAGCTGAATTTGTCAGCCAGAGAGGGAGAAAATATTATGTGGACGACTTTAGAAAATTAGGTTTTTCTTGGTAATTAAGTAAAACATTTGTTTATCGAGGGGTGATTCATTTATTTAAACTGAGAATACATGTAACAAAGAATTATCTCATTTGTCGTGCTCAGTGTGTTCAGAAAACCATTTTTTAGTTCTGTTAGCAGTTTCTGTTGATTATTTCACTGTTTAAGTTTGAAATGATCATTTCATATTTGTTCTTTTCTTGCTTTTCATAACAGGCCGATTGGGAAACTTCAGTAAAGGTAAGGAGCAGATGCTATATTTATTGAAAAACACCCATCCTGTTGATTTGTTCTAAGAGAAAATTCTGGAAACCTTTTCAGTTCTTACAAAAGCAGATAGAAGCGTTCCTTCTACGTGTACAATGTAAATATAGACTACATTGTAGTCTTCTCAATCCACTTTTAGACAGGTTATGTGCAAGGTCCATAGTCCACGTGTTCTCTGATCAAGGGCCAATAGATAAGGATAACAGCTAGAAATCTCAACAGTTTTGAAGACGAGCATGACCTTTTACAGACAGCGATTGGGGTGAATGAACTAAAACTTTTTTTGTACCTAGCTTTTTCCCCCCTTGATTGTTTGAAGGTCGGACAATGATCGTTTTTTTGCCACATTGTGTGTGTGTGCTTCATATACCCCCATTTTTTTTCAGTGTCATGGTCCTCAGGTTTGCTGAATCATCAGGCTTTTGTGAAATGTGTCAATCACAAAGAATTGTAGAACTTCTTAAGCTCTTGCAGGGGTTTTTACATGTCACTTGGTGGTCGGTCGGTCGGTCTGTCTGTCTGTCTGTCTGTCCCCGAAAATTGACCAAAAATATTTGACCAAAAATTTACCAAAACTATTTTGGTGGAGTCCCGAGTCCAGTAGGCCGAGTCCAAGTCCAAGCCCGCAGGTTCGAGTCAGAGTCAGAGTCTGAGTCATATGTCATCGTGACTGGGGTCCAAGTCCTAGTCACGAGTCATACATGTACAAGTCTGGAAGGATTGAGGCAGTGTTCACCACTCAAATGAACATATAGTAGGGTTAATGCTTAACAGAGTGATACACATGGCCATGTGTATCACTCTGTTCAGGAATATTCAAATTCTAACTTTGTTAATAATAATAATGCATGTTAAATGTACCTCAAAATTGATGCACCCTCAATTTGTTGTAATTTTTTGTGTGTGTTCTGTTTTGTTTTGTGAATGACTAGGTGTGTACACTGACCTTGCTTGAAAGAAATCTTAAATTTTCAAATGTTTCTGGATGGTGGTTTTTTTTTTTTTCAACAGACAAACACAGGACCAAATGCACCTGATGCAGGATCAGGAAGGTTGGTGAAGCATTTCAAGTTTCTAAAAAAGTATTTTATTTGGTTGTGGTAGGTACAATGTATAACCCTTATCAAGATAATGGCAAAAGTAGAAGCATTTTCTTGCAAGTTCTTGTTTGATTTACACTAAGTACAGTGTACGTACCTCTGTCGTCCCTTTCCTTTAGAACACCAGACACAGATTTTTTAGGCAAAAAACAAGGCTTTCAGAATTCGTATTGTTCAGGCATAAAAAAAAAGTGTTCGTACGTGACATGACCTGCAGGGGATATCGTGTATAATAGGGCGTGCAGTCTTCGAAATACTTGCGCAGTTCCCTCTGAATAGCCGGTCAGCGTCATTGACATATTCGTCACAGCCAGGGGTTAGTGAAAGAACGCCCATGCACCCATGGAATCGAGCATGGCCAATGGGATATCCAGAGTTTATATGGAGCTCAGTGATTCCTTGGTGTAACTGTGATGTGTGGGCTATTTCACCCTCAACACATGATCAGACTGTACCTGCACAGCATATGTATGGATGACTGCTGAATGTCTCAGGGTGCACACCTGTAAATAACCCTAAACCCATCCGCCAAGCCCATGAATAAACGTTATACCCTCAAAATATTCTATAAAAGAGAGTTCTGAGAGCCATACAATTAAAGAAATGAAGAGATATGGCAATGAACCCCTGGCCTGGACTTGGGGCTTCCAATTCTGAGCATTTTGGATGCATTTGGGCTTGAAGGTGGCGCTATTTTGCCATGTTGTGGAGGGATCGTTTTTCAAGATGGCTACTTTTCCGCTTTGGGGAAAATAGGGGTCGTCTTCTTTGGGTGAGAATTTCTCGAAAAGTCAATGGTCAACTCCACCAAAAATTGAAAAGAAAATGAAAGATGGGCAGCTCAAATACCTGTGAGAGTTTTTAAAAGAATTTTGAAGTATGGGGATTTAGCACTCGTGTCTATGTCAATTTTAATTCAGGGGTGCATCCTTTAAATGGATATTATTAATGTAGTATTTTGTCATTGGAGTAGAGTCTGGTAACAAGACTCGGACCATTGTATGCAGTATTGCTTCACTGTTACATTAATACCCCACGTTCAGACATTGTATACCATTACTCTTAATGCATGTGCAAACTCCTTGCTTCCTTTATGTTTGTGTTTGTTCCTTTTGAACCTTTTCTGCTGGTATGTTCTTTCCAGTTCTCAAAGTGATAATGAAAACAGTGAAGTGGACTCTCGATGGTATCAGACCTGTCTATCTTATTGCATGATTCACAGTACTCTAGTCCAACCCAACCTGCATGCAGCTACTTAATAATACATGTAGGCAGGTACCACAGTAGTTGCTTTGATGACATTGAACAATTGATCAATGTTGTAACAAAACAGATAAGATGGCAACAACTTCCATACCCAGTGATAGGCCATCAGCCTGGGGGTTTGGCCAGCATCAAATCAGGGCATAAATGATTATAGTGCGCATGCGCAAGGTATACCGCCCCTTGAGTGGTAACAAGCATTTTGATGGACATTTTGGAAAAAAAAGGTGATAACACCCAAAAAGTTGCCACCGCTGCAATGCTATCATACATATGTTCCAACTCTGGAGGTGTTTATCTTGCCAAAAATCGCTATGACGATTATTCCCCTCATTTGATACCGGTGGCCAAATTTTTGGACCGAGGCTGATGGCCTATAAATGAAAGTAAAGTGGAGTCCCCTAACGTGCCACACTTTGACGTTTCCCTCGATTTTGCTCGTGCAGTGTTGCCAAACGTCTTTGTTTACAAACTTCAAATTCATTCAGTTAAATTATGACACTATTACTTTAATACTGCTTGCTACTGAATCCCTTGTGAACAATTTCAATGTCATGAAAACTAGTCCGAAATTAAAAAACGGTGGCGTCCAGAAATTGGGCACAAAATTGGTCGAGTGTTCCCTAACTTTGAGCTTCCACAAGCATTTAGAATGCACCTCATGGTAAAATTTCTGACGTCGGACTGTAAATTAATTTTCATTTAGGAACCACATTCCAGAACCGTCAAAGAGATTTTTATGAACATTTTTGACATCACAATGTAGTAAGGAAGTGTTTTTTGAGAAACAAAGTAGACAGTATGAATGCATTTTTCAGAAATTCAAAAATTCTTCATTATAATTGTACATAAAATCTGGGACCCAAGGGGATGTTCAGTTTATAGCTGAATGTTTGGTGCAGTTGTGTTCATTATATTATGATATTGGGGACCAACAATCATGAACAAAAATTCATATTTAGACTTTCGACTTAAAAATATTTGTATTTAACCTGGGATCCGTAGATAAATCGTTGCCGTTGTCCACGCGGAGTATGTCTTTTTCACGTAAGTGTTTGGCACATTGATACTATTGTGCTGGCATTTCTTGTTGGAAGAAGGAATAATCCTTCAGAGTGAAATCAAATGGTGTATCATGAGGGGAAAATGTACACTTCAATTCTACATGTACCGTTTCTCTATCTTCTAACATTCAGGGGCCAATTTCATAGAGCTGCTTAAGCACAAAATTTGCTTAAGCACAAAAACGTCTTGCTTAATAAAATCAGGTTACCAGCCAAAACTCCATGCGATTGTTATGCTAAGTACACAACAGCTAAATACCAGTCACAAGCAATGTACATCACATGGAGTTTTGACCGGTAACCTAATTTTACTAAGCAATGTTTTTTCGTGCTTAAGCAAATTTTCTGCTTAAGCAGCTCTATGAAATTGGGCCCAGGTTGAACATCATGTTTGCTTGGGAAAAAAACATACATTAACATACATTGTACATGTACACTCTCACTAATGCACTGTACAGAATTATTCTGTTTAGAAGATTTTAGTTCACACTTTGTTGACAGTCTATACATGTATAGGCTGCTGTTTTCCAAAAAAAACATGCATTCAAAATGGAAGAACAATTCATGTACATGTACAAATTGACTTCATTTTTCAACGACAGATTTCATGTTTGGACACAAATGTACATTAGACATGGTAGGCTATCAGCCTGGGGTTTGGGTCGTATCAAATGAGGGGAAATATAGTCATTGTGAAGTTACCCCTCTAGTTGGAATATATGTGATAGCATTGCAGCGGTGGCAGCTTTTTGGGGTGCTATCACTGTTTTAAGAAAATGGCAGCCAAAACATGCATGTTACCACATATAATTAATCGGGTTAAAAAAAAAATTAAAAGTGATAACACCAAAAAAACTACCACCACTTACACTACAAA